AATAATTTAGTGTCTGAATTTCTGCCTAATCAAGCAGTTATCTAGGGGCATCTTTCAGAGCTATTTCCCCTTTATTTACTCTTGCAAATCTACTGCCATAAGACAATTCAAAAGTGAAATGGAGGTAAAGCAGCAGACTGAACATTATCAAATATAATTTCTTTAGTACAGTTTTTCAGTTCGTAGTTGTAACTTCTTTCCATGAGATTTCCATTACTATTTGCCTTACAGAGCCTGATCCTGCAATGTGTACTCAAGCAAGACTCCTAGATCACAAAATCTGGCCCTTAGATATGACTGGCTCTACATGCTATGATGGCATTGATTTTTAAGCATATTAAAACAATTGATGGCATTATATGTACACCTAGGAGTCTAAACAAGTGAGTATTTTAGTAGTAGCATAATATTAGAAAGTCAGTGAGCATCTTTGTACTTTCATATCTAACAATGATGAATTAGCTTTTCACTTGGCATGACCTAGTGAAATATTAATCAAGACCATATGATCTGGAGGAAACCATATTATTTAACTTGTAGTAAATGATAAATAGGTATCAGATACACACCGTGACAAGGGTAGAGTTCATATTTTCTTTCAATCCTGATTCAAGTCACAGGAAAGAAAATAGTGTTTGATGGTCTCATCCTACTTCCCATTATATCACAATTGCACAGTCTTGACTCAGATGAGGCTTAATAGTGGCAGAACAGGTAGCACTACAGAGTTTGTGTGGAAAATCTGCACCATAGCTGTCTGTGCTAGGTTACGCTCAAGACAAACCCTTTAGGCCCCCATTTTATGAGTGCTAAATTTGCCCATGAATTAAACAATCAATAGCATTTTAAAAATGTACTTCGGGCATTCTATTCTGTTTCATAGTTTTATGGTGCTCACTTTTCTGCAATCTGCCATCAAGTACAGTATATTAAATAAGTAAGTTTTTGAGACTGCATTTGTCAGGAAGAGGCAAAGTCTTAAATATCGGAATTACAAACTAAAAAACTGATCTTCCTCTTGCTTGCTTTGTATTTCTTTCACCAGTTATCTACAATGAGGAGGTACTACCTATGTATGATGACTTAAATTTGATATAAGTAAACTCAACATTGTTTTGCCACACAAATAGAAGGTACCAAAGGAAAATGATTTACTACTTTAAGCACCAACTATGACATGCCAAAATTCCCTGAAGCCACAGGTTACCAACAGGATGACTCAGCCTTCATATGTCTGAGGTAGGTGAACTAAATTCTATGAAATTTCCACTATGGATAAGAGACCTTTAAAACCAAGATCACATGCTAGGGTGTGCTCTCAGTTTCAGTGATAAACCAATTAACTTCAGTGCAGCTACTGTGAATTTGCCTGGGTGCAACAGAGGACAGGATTTGCTTTATCTGCTCCGGCTTGAAGCTTTATGTAAGAGCAGGTGTTTACCAAATTTTCCCCTTCACATAACTACTCAATGTACTATCTGCTGGTTGCTGCCCTCCCCTCTGGTAGCTCTGTATAACTTCTGGGTTATGTAATTTTTAGAGCACTTTGATGTTCTTTGCGAAGGTGCTATAGAATTGTAAATTATTATTATAATGGCTCCGTGGATCACAAGTCATTTTTATTTTATTCATCAAAATCCTGTTGTGGAAACACTTTGTTCTCTGGGGGGAAAGTAGTATTACCATGTGCTCTTAACAATATTAATAACTCTCAGTTCTTTTGGTCATTTGTATAGGTCTAGTATGTAATTAAGTATGAAGCCCATTAGCTGATGCTCATTCCATTTATTATACAGGGCTCATGGATTTCAGCTAGAATTGAGTCTATTTAAAAGTGACCTACAATAAACGATGTTAGAAAAACAACCTTAAAGGCAACAAACTACCTATTATTCTAGCTGCAAAAGTCGTTTAATTCTGTATTCCAGCTTTCCTGGCAGAAGCAGCACTGAAACTTGGGGATCAAATGTTTAAAATGTAGCAGCCTCTGATCCCAGCTTGTGCTAAACTTGTGCCGAGGGAGGAAGAAAGACAAACATCCTTCTTTTATGTAACAGCGATAGAGGCTGATTTATGTAACCGAGCGCAGGGTACTTACTGTCATGCACTGATCCCCCGCCCCAGGCTGAGCCGCCGCTCTGCCTCCCAAGCCTCCCGTTTGTCTCGGGGTTAGCTGAGGGCAGAAGCGCCGTGTGCACCGCTGGTGGAAGCGATGGAGCCCAGCCCAGCAAGCGCAGGGACCAGCAGGAGGGATGCGCTGCGCGGAGAAGCTCAGGGGGCTGCGGGCTGGGTGGGCAAAGCGGGGGACTGTGCCCAGCTCTGTCCGCAGGCAGCTCCCCCTGCCCCGCACCTGGGGCCACAGCCTGGCACTGCCCTGCTGCCAAGGGCAGCTCTCCAGCCCCGGCTCCCCTGCCCTGAACCGGCCCTGCTCACCCGATGTGCCTTCTCCTCAGCTCCAGGGTCTCCGCCTTGCTGTACAGCTCGCTCATGCTGACGCCGCTTCTCCCGCCGCCTTAGGCTGCCCTTGTCCCAGGAGGCTGGTGTTGGGGGTGAGGAGCCGGTTAGTCTCATCGTCCTTTTATCCCGTCTTCTGCTCTGCCTCCTGCCAAACCCCTCCTCCTGCTCTCTCATCTGCGCGGCAACCTGCCGCTCATGTGCCCAGGAGAGAGCCTCTCTCCACACGCCCCTCTGGCTGTGCCACTCTCTGCCCCAGCTCTCCGGGGGGGGGGGGCACAGCACCTCCTGGCTTGTCGTGGTTTCCATCATAAACAGCTTTGTTCAATGGTTTTCAGCACCCCCCACTCTAAACATTGTTCCAACTGCCACGGCCTCCCCCTGTGCCACCACTACTCTTCTTTTCTCCTCTCACACCCCATGGAGGACGTTCCTCAAGGGGGATCAAAACTTCCCTTTCTTATTCACTGCCTAGCTCCTCTTCACTGCAATTGTCTGCTTTCCATGTAATAGGCACACACAAATGTTGTCTAATGTTAAGTCCTACTACTTCTTCTACTGCTTTTCTGTTTTATCCTGTGGATGATTTACTTCTATGACTTATTTACCTACCTCACTGGGGTACTGTAGGGACTACTTACCTCATGCTTACAGAACATAAACAATAATTAATCTCATAGAGAGATTATGTTAATTTGGCATGCTAGGTTGCAGTTCTTTCCCTCCTGAGCTTTCAAAGCATTGTCCTGAAGTACAGAGTATTTTAGTTTTCTGGCCAAATTTCCTAATATTACACAGGGTATAGCCAAAAATGATTGATAAATAGTTTGGCTTCTGTCTGACTGAGAGGATAGGTCATTCTGCCGAACTGCTTATAAAATTGCTGCAGAAACCCACAGTAGCCTAGTAGGACATATTTGAGCTCTATTTTTCAATGTACTGATTGAGGCTTCATAAAAAATATAAACAGCATAATCTTGCAAACATCTGGACTGCATTTGTACAAAAGGGTTTTACTTTTACAAGAGGCACTGTACAAAATTACTTTGTGGGGACCCTTTAAAATATACACAGGACATTTGTACACAGCACCACCACCTACACATCATAAATTCTTCAGTGAGCTATGAACATCATTGCCTTTGTTTTGATACCCAGTGTACACCTTTTGAAAATTCTGCTTATCAAATTACTTCTGTTATGTATATCATCTTAGCTATAGACTCAATTGATGGGAAACCTAGGGCAGTTAATTTAACCAAGCCTGGAACCATAATTCAAGGGCCATAATATTTCATCTACATACTTCCCCAAATCCATCAATTATTACAAATGTCAACGTTCTAGCTGTAAGGCCAGGCAAATATGTAAGGACCATCTTTGTTGTTCTGTGTTTGTACAGTGCCTAAGCACAATGGGGCCCTGATCCTTGACTGGGGTCCCCTTTGTGCTTCTGCAATCCAAATAAATCATCATCATCGAGGAATCAGATTGCAGCCATCAACTAATATTTTTGATTTCTTAAAGTGTTTTACAAACATCAGTGAATTTACCTTACAACATCTCTGGGATGCAAAGATCAGGGCTTGAACTAGGTCAAATCATATCAGCTCTATGAGCAAATATTCATTTCTTTTCTTTGTTAGGGTGTTATCTTTTACTCCAGAATCTAAATTTTAATTTAAAACAGTATGACTATGTCCACTGGCCATCACCTACAGTTCTCAGCTTAAACTCTCCAATGCATCATCAGTGATCTACAACCCATCCTGGACAATGATCCCTCACTTTCACAGACCTTGGGAGGCAGGCCAGTCCTCGCCCACAGACAACTTGCCAACCTTAAGCATATTCTCACCAGCAACCACACACCGCACCATAACAACTCTAACTCAGGAACCAATCCATGCAACAAACCTCGATGCCAACTCTGCCCACATATCTACATGAACAACACCATCACAGGACCTAACCAGATCAGCTACAACATCACCGGTTCATTCACCTGCACGTCCACCAATGTTATATATGCCATCATGTGCCAGCAATGCCCCTCTGCTATGTACATTGGCCAGACTGGATAGTCACTACGTAAAAGGATAAATGGACACAAGTCTGATATCAGGAATGGCAATATACAAAAACCTGTAGGAGAACACTTCAACCTCCCTGGCCACACAATAGCAGATGTAAAGGTAGCCATCTTACAGCAAAAAAACTTCAGGACCAGACTCCAAAGAGAAACTGCTGAGCTTCACTTCATTTGCAAATTTAACATCATCAGATCAGGATTAAACAAAGACTGTGAATGGCTAGCCAACTACAGAAGCAGTTTCTCCTCCCTTGGTGTTCACGCTTCAACTGCTAGCAGAGGACCTCACCCTCCCTGATTGAACTAACCTCGATATCTCCAGACTGATTCTTGTCAGCATATTTATACCTGCCCCTGGAAATTTCCATTACATGCATCCGACGAAGTGGGCATTCACCCACGAAAGCTTATGCTCCAATACATCTGTTAGTCTTAAAGGTGCCACACGACTCTGTTGCTTTTTACAGATCCCAACTAACATGGCTACCCTCTGATACTATGTCTACACTTAAAACTTGACAGTTTGACAGCTGCAGTGTTGCAACTGTGCTGCTGTAGCACTTCAGTATAGACACTACAGCAACGAGAGGGGGTTCTCCTGTCACTGTAGGAGACAGTCCCTGAGAGCTGGTAGCTAGGTCGACAGAAGAATTCCTCTGTCAACCTAGCACTGCCTACATGGGAACTCAGGTCAGCTTAACTATGTGTGGATTTTTCACACGTCTGAGTGACGTAGCTGGGTCAATCTAGTTTGCTAGTGTAGACCAGACCTTAGTCTCACTCTCTAGCTGTTATAGTTATGAAAAAAACTTTCAAAACCTGAGGTGTAACTGATGCAGTGATGTCTGCCAAAGGGCTTGTCCAGACTGGGAACTTACATTGGTGTACTATGTCTCTCGGCGTGTGAAAAATCCAACCTCCTGAGAGATGTGGCTATCCCAGGTGTAGACAGCTCTAGGTCAACAGAAGAATTCTTCCGTTGATATAGCTACCACCTCTCAGGGAGGTGATTACCTATACTGAGGGGACAGCTCCTCCTGACGACAGGTAGTCTGTATGCTGAAGTGGTACAGCAGTGCAGCTGCAGCTGTGTGGCTGTAGTGGTTTAAGTGTAGACATACCAAGGTAAGCAGGATTCCTGAAATGATAGTTCTGAAGTGTGCTAACATTTGTCAGCAGACAAATTCCTTACTGGTCCCTGCATCAGCTTGAGTAGCTGCTCTTCATCTCCACATCCTAGGGTCCTGGCCCTTGTAGGAAAGACATCAGAGACTATGCAACCTCACAAACAGATGAGGTGTTGCCAATCTTCTGTTGGGTCAGCAGATACATGGAGATAGGGGAATTCACCCAAATAGAGGGAGAGAGACTGGGCCCCACGTACATTTGCATAGGGCCTCACTGCATGCCAGGATGCTGTGTTAAGTCTGAACCTGGCTTAGGTCTTGATCCAAGCCAGTTTGCCCTGCCTTTTTGTCTTGCCTCCTTTTCTAAAAGCAAAACAATGATGTGACAGACAAAACACAGGACATGCACATTTTATACTGACAATCCCTTTAATAAACTAATATAAACTAGAGACAACCCAGACATTGTTTCCCTGCTTTATCATGAAAATTAATGTGCAAAGGAATCTGAAAGGACAATGTAAGGGCATTTAAGGACAAGCCACTTTCCTTTCCTGTCTGCGTCTGCCCTCTGTTGGTAGGAAATGCACATTAATCTCTGTCCATTAGAATTGTGGAATGAGTTTCACAAAATACCGATGGGGACAGAGGGAAGATTATCACTAGAAATCCCATTTCATATGGAAACAATAAGCTCCAGCAGCAAAGGACAGGTACAAGCTAGAAATAGATTGTTAGAGAACAGCTTGTAAGAGGCCTTTACATGGCCATGCAGGGGCAGAAAGGCAATCAAGAAGCCTCCGATGGCCCGCTGGCTCCTAGTCTTTGCATTCCTTCTTCCAGAATCAATGCACTAGAGAGACTAATCTGCTCCTAATGGATGGAACAAATTATGCATATCTCCCTCACATTAGCACAGAGCAGCCCCAGAAAGATTGTGGTTCAGGAAGGCACAATCTCTCCAGTGCTCTTGCTGGGATGGTGGGCTCTGCATTCCTCCACCATCTCCACAGGGATGTGGTATAAATGCCATAAACTAGCCCCTAGTGATTCACTGGATTGATAAGAGTTTTAAAAAAACAAACCATATATGCTCCATTTTGGCACACCTTTTTCATCAATATCTTTTTTTCTTTATTAATTTTTCAAGGAATATGCAAAAACAAATGATCACGATCTGAGGAGAAAGACATTTGAATAAATACTACCGTTGTTACTACTGACATCAGGAGGGCAAGCGAATGTAAACATACAAGTCCATTCCATACCAAAAGTCAGAGCCCAGCTAAGGGAAAGCAAGATTCAGCATCAAAGTAAGGATGAGCTCTCACCACAATGCATTGCATAACTGTGACCCTGTAGCAGCTTCTGAGCTCCACAAGATATGAAAACTGTAACTAGCCAAGCAGAGTTCACCAGACCTAAGGAAATCATTGGTTAGGGTTTGTCCACACATGGAATTATTCCAGACCAGATTAGCTCTTCCCATCCATGTCTGAATTCTTATTCTGAAATAAAAATTAATCCAGAATAGTTCATCTGGAATAATTAATCTCATACTTTATTTTATTCCAGAATAGCTCTCCTGTGTAGACAAGCCCTTATAAAATATATTAGGTAAATAATGGACCATATATATCCTAAATGGCTTAAAGCCTCATGTGAAGCCACCAGTTTCAAACAGGCCTTACCCAACCTATAGCAATGTAAATAAGTAAGGCCTGGCACTATAAGGGTTAACTGGAGATGAAGAACTCAGTTAAGGCATGGGGTGGGGGGGCGGGTGGCCCAGGCAAAAATGTAGATGAAGCCCAGCTGGAGGAGGAGCTGGGTGGTGAGGAAGCCCAGATGAGAAGGGAGTACTAGGAGAAAGAACTCTGTAGTCTAGCTGCTAGAAAATGCTGGAAAGGCCTAGAGAGTGAGACAGATATACAGTAAGCCCAGAGAGGGGCTGTGGAAAAGGACCTGAAGAAAGGCCATGGTAAGAAGAAATCCAGAGAAGCAGTGAGCAGGCTGAGGTAGGAGACATTAGGTGCTCATCACAGGGTCCCTATACTGGAGCCCAGAAGAGAAGGAGGGACTGAGCTCCCCTACTAGCTGCTGGGAAAGGTGATGTGGAAACACCCTGACATGATGGGGAGAAGGACTACTGAGTTTGGAACTGGGCATCCAGGGAGAAAGACAACCCTGCAGAGCCTCAGAAGGGGTGAAGAGTCTGCAGACGATCCAGCCTAGGAAGGAGTGAAGAGGTATGTTAATTTGAATTTAATGTATTGTACTCCTTCTTTACCCTGGAAAGGGTGGAACTAAAGGTCACCTGGCTGGGGGGGTGGAATCACGAAAAGAGGCAGACCACTGCCAGGGCCAGAGTGCTGTTATAACAATAAATCTCACTAGGAGGGGTGTGCCAGGAGTGAATCAACTCTTTCACACCTAAAAAAGGTTCAGGTTTACTTAGGACCTTTTCTGTATGGGAAGTTTATGGTTTAATTTAAATCAGTTTTTAAATCAATTTAGTTAAAGCAGTGCAAACCCTTGTGTGGACACTCTTTTTTCCAGTTTAAGAGACTTATTTAGGGTTATCTTAAACCTGCTCCCAATTGACTTCTCCTATACTGTATACAGCCCCTCTTAACTGGAAATAAGTGTCCACAGAGACTTTTGCAGTGGTTTAAAAACTGATTTAAATTAAACGGGTGCAATTTCTTCATGAAAACAAGCCCTAGGGTTGGTGTGTGACCTTAAGTATGGTCCATGCTTTTACAAGTTTGCAGGCTATTCTCAATCAGATAATTTGGGCTCATTTGAGATGTCAAATTGTATCCCTCCAGCAAGGGTGGTTGTGTGTGTGGAGGGTTAACATCCCAAACCTGTAGAGAGGCAGGATTGCACCTATACATTCCCTAGGAGGTGGGGGAGAGCAGCTTTAGTTTCTATAAGGAGTTGTTTAAGATCCCTGTCAGCACAGGCTTCTGAGGAAATGTGCTGAATGAGTTCACCCCAGGAGGTACTGACCATATCCCTGCTCTGACCAGTGGTGCCCCCTTTTCAGGCTGTGCACTTTTCAGGCAACACTTCACCCAATGGCAAGGACATTGGGTGAGACTTGTTTAATAGAACTTCTCCCCAGCAGACTTGCTGCCTTTCTTGTTTGTAAATCACATAGGAGGTGTTTGATGCAGGAAAACGAAATTCATGGTGCCAGAGCCTGACAACATCTAGTGAATCGGAGAAAGCTCCTCGAAGAGAAAGGTAAAGGAACACACAACAGTCTTGTGGGAGGGCTGCACAGCAATGGAGAGATGGAAATTTGCAAAGGCAGAGATGAAACATTATCATTGTTTGTGGGGAACGTGTGCTACCATGTTCTGACCAACATTAATAAAATGTTGTTTGGTCTTGCAGTGTAGTGGAGCCAAACAATTTTGACCATGTTCCTGAACTGTGCTACACCGCTGCCGAAGACCACGAGCTAAATCATCAGCCCCTTAAGCAATGGTAAAAATCTCACTTTTGAGGCACGGCAAGACCAAACCATAGCTTATCTGTGTTGAAGCACCACTGTTTATTATTTGTTTATGATAGCATCTAGTATGTGGTAGGAATCTTCCAGTCAGACCTTTGCAATGTTTGCTCAGTGTTCCTCATTCGGGTTGATACAGGTGTGTTTCACAGATTGCGGAGCACTCCACTGATGAGTTCTTCACTTGGTTTGCTTAGGACCAGGTTGAGTGAGTAGAGTGATGAATAGATAGTTTGGACCCTGCAAGAGCTATCCATAGCCTTAATGCTTGGCTTGTAGCTCAAGAATCTCAGCTTGAAAATCGCTCCTCTAAACTCTCATTTAACAGTTAAGAACTGTGGCCTGATCTAAAAGCCTGAAAGGACGGTTTTTTTCAAACCATGAATTCTCATGAGACTAGTCACCCTGCTGCCACTGCCTCCTCCAAAAACTTTGCCCAACAGTTGATTTGGAAACAGTGGCTAAAATGTTCAAATTTTAAATAACAAGTGACGTCAGGTGCCTAACTTTAGGCACTCATTTATTTTTTAAAAAAGAGCCTGAAATTGCAATATCATCTGTAACCAAAAACTCTGGCTCCTTTAAAATACCAAAGAGGGTAAAATACATGAGTCAGGATCAATATAAGTAAACCCGAGTCAAGAGAAATGCACTGCTAGTAGAAGGTATTGCATCTAAACTCTGATGTAGTGAATTACCTTTAAAGTCGTCGTTAAACTATTGATGTTTCTCTGGCCAAAGGAAAGGAAAATGACTAGGGTGTTAACCTGTGAATACATCTGAATATTTTAAAACTATTTATGGCAGATGCACAATATTGTTATTCTGTTTAGACCCGAGTGGTTAGCCAAAATTGTGAGTCCTGTGGGTTGTTTCAATGAGGAGGGGAAACTGATGATGGAGCTGAGTTCTTTGATGCAATCCTATTTGTTTTTAAAGGATTACAAAGTCCTGCTCAACATAGGGCGAAATCAAGCAACAGGGGAGTTTCTTTGCCTACTGTTCCAAGCCTCTTTCAGCCAGCGCTCAGTCTGAATAGCTCTCAAGGCCTTTTCTCAGGGCCATGCTCTCAGTACTTGCTCAGCTGTCTCCTTAGCTTTCTGCTCCTCTTCTGTGATGATGGTTCTTGCTGCTTCACTCTCACTGACACACCGCTGTGATCCAATCAATACCCTTCCCTTGAGTTTATCGAATCACAGTGGAACCCCTCCTTGGGCTGCCTGGCTAAATCCTACTCCAGCTTTGCATGTTGCTTTGTTTTCAGTAGATTCCCTAATTTTCAGCTATCTATGCCATGATGGAGCTCAATTGCTTTTTACATTTATACTGAATGAAAGGTGGCTATTTCACCCACCGGTTTCAAAGACATCTTACCCACCCCATAACAGTATAAAGAAATAGAGCCTGACCTGAAGTTCAAATAGGGCTCTGGAATCAGGCCCATAGTGAAGTAGACATATATGTTCCCAAAACAAGTGAAAAGAAAGTGCAGAAAGCAGGCAACTTAATAACACATGTCCTAAAACACTGCTTGAGGACAGGAATCAAACATACAGGTTTAAATATTGAAAAATTAAGAACAATTTTATAATAAAGGAAAAGTATGGCATCTGCTAAATGAAAGCTCATGTGACAGCCCCTGCGTGCAGCCTGCATGCTAACATGTTGCACAAGGTTGTCTTTTCTGGCTCTTGCAGCCTCTTTGGTGTCTTTAAATTATTTATCTTGTTAAGTCAGGAAGTACTGAGTAGTGATTGCCTGCTACCTACGGCTAGAGATAATTATCATGTCCTTCAGAGTGGCCTACAGTTGCCTGGGTGACCAGATGTCCTGATTTTATAGAGACAGTCTGGATTTTTGTGTCTTTTTCTTATATAGTCTCCTATTACCCCCCATCCTCTGTCCCGATTTTTCACACTTGCTGTCTGGTCACCCTACCTGGGAACTGTCATGATGGGATCTTTTTTAAGTTTATCTAACCAGTTCATTATTTACTCTACATTTACAAGGGGTTTTTTTGTGTGTGCTTCTGCTATGCCAGTATAGTTGAAGTTTGGTCAATCTTGTCTGGTTATTCAGACTCATTCAGCGGCTCTCATTTGATGCTCCAGTGGGAAACTGCAGCTCTCATGTCTCATGGTGAACCTGCTCAGTTACAGAATTCTATATTTTTAACCCTCATAAAGAAAGCCACTTAGTTTTTGTGGCTTTGTAACATAGCAAGCCAGTCTGTAAATGCTATCCTTGCTCATCAATGTCTTTTGACACCTTGTAAACATACTTGCATAAGTGATGTTCTACAGCAGTGAATTCCACAGGTTCCTGCTTATGTACTCTTCATTTACCAGCTCTGGGGACTGTTTCCCATCTAAGCATTGATGTTCTGAGAGACAGAGTTGGAACTTCTTTATTTTCCCTTTCTTTCCCATGTATGGTGGTGCTGAATCACCCCAGAAGGCTTAATGAGCTAACTCCACTGCAGAAGCAAAGCCTTCGGGAGTGCATTAATGCTGCTGCTGGATAAGTAGGGGGTGGAAAATAAATATATAGTATTGGAAGCTGAAGGATGGCAGGAGCTAGTGAACATAGTTAAATAGCAGGAAAATAACATATTGCATATCATAAAGGACACCCTCCTCTACTAGTTAGTGCAGTACAGAGTAGTATGTTGATTCTGAGGATGATTTGAAACACAGTATTACCAAGTCCCTTATGAGCTTGGCATCTTTTACCGGTTATGTGGCAGTATTTTTCCAGGCATTCATGTGGAAAAAATAGGCCAGTGACACAAGAGTACTCTGTTTCCCAAGGGAAACTGTGGCCTGCTGCTGCTTGTTACTGAGATGTTAGCCTCTTTCTGTTTTTTCTTAACTTAGCTGAAATCTTTCATCGATACTATTAGTGCTGTCAGTCAGACATCTTCTACTGATTATAATAAATACTATGTGGACAACAGCAACACATGCAAAATATAAAGGGGACCAAGATAACAAAAAACACAGGCAGAATAATAAAGTGGAAAGTCCATGCTAATCCATAAAGAGAGAAAATAACCTACCGTTATATCTGAAACCCAGATATTCAAAGAGAGGAGACAGTTGGGAAGCAGTAATACTGAGACGTTTGGAGTGATGGTACACAGGTGAGAAATGAATTTGCCATGCAATAAGTATTTACAGGGATATTTTCTCTGTTCAGGGTTTTAAATTGTTCTATAAGAAAGTGCAATTTCACCCTGGACAATGACCCATGTAAAAACAGGCCCTTCTATTCTGCTGTTCTGCTCAAAATCATCTCTGTTTGCCTCCTAGACAAGAGCAAGTTTTAGTTATGCAAGGATGACAGAAGCAGACACACAGCTTTGGGGGAGAGAACTGGATTCTCTTTTGGCTTGATCATATCAAGATTAACTTAAATCTTGTCTACATGGGGGAAATGGACCAGCATAGCTATTCCAGAATAACTATTTTGGTATAATTTAAGTATTCTGGAAAAACTCTCCTGCATGCACACTCTATTCTGGAATTAAAATGATTTTTTCTGGAATAATTACTTTGCTTCCGAAGTCACTTTTATTTCAGAGCAGTGTGTTCATACAGGAAAGCTATTCTGCAATAGCTATGCTAGTTAATTTCCCCACATAGAGAAGACATAAGATCCAATTGCAAGACCACCTTTGCAACCCTATTGTCTTCAAATTATTCCCTCATTTACACCAGAGGCATTTCTGTGAGGGCAATAAGGTTGCATAGACAATGACCATGGGTTTATTGGCAGTAGCACCTAGATATTATGGAGATGGACAGCCTAAGAATATGAGGTTTGGTTTACACACAATTATTTTAGTAATATACCTGTTGCAGTTAGGGGTGTGATTTTTTTTCTACTGAAATAGCTAAATTGGTTTGGTACAGCCTCTAAGCTGGATGCAGCTGTACTGGTAAAAAGGTGCCTTATAGTTTACTCCTCTTCCCAAACATGAATAGCTATATAGGTAAAGACATCTCTTATTCTATATAGTTGTCTATCTACAGTAGTGAGATTGTACTGCCTAAACAATACCAGTATAACTAAAGCAGTACAATTCTTGTGTGTACACAGCAAGTCCTATGAGAATCAAACCTTCACAGCCCCATTGGGGAAGCCCCCCTACAGTTGCTAGGAGAGGTTCTCTCTTTCCCATTGCCAGTCCAGTCAACTTCAGGAAGGCTTCAGCTTTGTGCTCAAATCTGGGAAAGGCTTCTCAGTCCTACAGTGGGTATCGGAGAGGCTAAAATTATTTCCAAATCCACCCCCTACAAAGGATGCCCTTTCAGAAATAAACCTAGATACCTTGCTAGTCTTAGAGAAGAAGATAAGACAAAACCTTAGAGTGAGCACCAACAGAAAACTCCAGGACTGGTCAAGCTGTGTGTTTTCAGTTCCCAAGTCCACTGGGGTACACTGTCCAATTCTAAACCGAAAGCCCTTAAACCTCTTTATGGCTGCCCAGCTGTTTTGCAGTGAAAGGCTCAAAGCCATGATTTACAATGGGGGGTTTCCAGCAAAAACTAGATCTGAGCAAAGTCTTTGGTAGCTTGGATACATGGCTATGCTATGGGAGATTCTTAAGGAGATATATGAGCTACAGGGGATTTTCTGGAAAGCAATACTGTACAGTAGGAGGGGTTGGGAATTGAGCCTGTTCATTGCTCCACGTTTTTTCACCTCATTTATGAGATCCATTCTTCATCTCCTAAAAATTTGGGAGTGAAAATGATAATTTATTTAACTGTCTTGATTTCAGCATAACCAGAAGAGCTCCTAAAGTAGTTTATTGTGTTCACACTCCATCCAGAAGGGTGATCGGCTTTCTAGTAAATCTAGAAAAATCTATATTAAAACTGTAACACGGGCAGCCGCCTTTTGAGCACCCCTCATGGCCACAGGTCATTCTGCAGTACCCTCCCTCTGTTTCTCCCTTTGCAGGGCCCTTAAAGAACTCATCCAGTTCAAAGAGTCCCCTACTGGGGTCCAATTCATTGAGTCCTCAGGTGCATATTGACCCTCAAGTCCCCAACCCCAGTCCAGTTCTCGCTCCTGATAATCCAAGAGTCTTTCAAAAATAGGGTTACCATATTTCAACACTGAAAAAAGAGGACACTCCATGGGGGCCCTGGCCCTGCCCCAACTCCGCCCCTTCCCCGCTCCCATTCCAACTCCTTCCCCACCCCCATTCCAACCCCTTCCCCAAAGTCCCTGCCCCAACTCTGCCCCCTCCTCTGAGCACCCTGCATTCCCCCTCCTCCCTCCTGCTCTGATCTTGGTTGGGGGTTGCTAAGTGCTTCCCTGCTTCCGACTCACCCTGCAGCCTCTGCGCCCCCTGCCTGCCCTGCCCCTGTGCCCCCTGCCCCTGCAGCCTCTGCACCCCCTGCCTTTGCAGCCTCTATGTCCCTACCTGCCCTGCTCCTCCTCGCCCTGCAGCCTCTGCGCCCCCTGCCTGCCCTGCTCCCCCACTTCCCCGGCAGCCTCTGCCTGGCGGGAGCTTCGGCGGCTCAGCGGCAACCGGGGCGGCGTGGGTCCCTGCAGCCCCAGCACACGCTGCACTCCCCGCCGCCTCCTTCCTGCCGCCGCCGAGCACGTTCCCCAGCCTGTCCCCGCTGGAACAGCTCCTGTGGCTCTGGGGCTGCAGGAAGGGTCCCCCAGTGGCCGGGGGGTCCCCGCCCGTGAGGGAAGCCCAAGCTGCTGGCTGGGCCCGGCGGGGGCGCGCGGTCCACCCGGCCTGCGGGGGCAGCAGTGGCCCCTCCGCCGCCTTCTGCGGCTGCGCCCTCCCGCCTGAGCTCGCTACAATGTAGCCTGGGCGACTGGGCTGCGCTGCGGACCCGGCGGATTGTGCTTGGGCCGGGCGGACCCTGGCTTATGCCTCCCTATTTCTCCAGACATGTCCGGCTTTTTGAAAATTCCCTCCGGACGGGGATTTGAGCACCAAAAAGCCGGACATGTCTGGGGAAATCTGGACGTATGGTAACCCTATTCAAAAATAAAACACAAACTCACACAGGCTTCATCCCAGTTTCAGCTGGGCACAGCCCTGCCTCCCTGAGTAACTGTTGTTCTGCTTTCCAGCACCTCCAGCCTGGAGTTTGTCTTTCTCCACAGACCTTTCCAGCTGGGCCTTTGCGGTTTCTCCCCTGCTTGGACAGGGTCGCTCCCATACATCCCTGCCTGGAGAGCTGTTCTCACACTCCCCTGCTTCTTGAGCTTTTCCCCCTGCTGACTCAGGGCCCTGCAGGAGTCTTCTTTCACCCTGCAGTGTTTCTACAGCTTCAGTTTCCTGAGCTTTCCCTCTTCACTACAACTTCCTGCTCCTTTTGTAGAGGAATCATGTGATTCCTCTCCGGGAGGAGGGGCTGATCCTGTAATCAGAGTTGTCTTAGCTCTCCAGCCCATAGGGCAAGCCACCCTGTTACAAACACCTTCACCCAGATTTTACTTACTGAGATTCACAATAGATTCCAGGCAGGGCTTAAATTCTTATAGAATATTTCCCAGAGCTTCCCACGCCTGCCCCCAACATACTATAAAAACTCTAGGGCTATTGAAAATATTTTCCAGATCTTTGCTGTGTACAGCTCCGGCTGAATTTAAGCCCTGGTAGAGACTTGATTCTAAACCTTCACAGTGCGCAGTCCAAAGGAGTGGACAAATATGTGTCAGGATGTGATGCATGATATTCCTCTTCTCTCAGAGGTGCCAGTGTATTTTATGTTACATCTAGGTAATGGGAGAGAGGTATTTTCCTTCAAGTTTTATATTCAAGATGTTAAGTCTATTTATAGTTTTTCACTATGTTTCTATAATAAAACACTTTACCTTTGCTGACGATGTTAAAGTTCTGTTTACATTTTCCAGATGCCTTAGTCTTTACCATTCGATATCAGGTAGGCACAGAAGATAAGCTCTTCTCAGAGACATCAAGAAAATGTGTTGCCTTTAAAGCAACAGCCTTCAGCAATCAATGAATAGATTATGCCAATCCATTGATGTGGTTTCTTTTTAAACTTTGTGACAGATGTTTCAATAATATTTTTTTCAGAATATGCTGTGTGATACAATATGTTGCCACCCCTACTACAAATTATATCAGTATATGTTGATGAATATGTAGAAGTATTGTGTATTTAGCTATCACAATTAGGATAAAAATGTGACAGACTATACTCTTATATTCACCACTTTTACAAAACAATGATACATTTTATACAAAGTATGCCTTGTGAGGTATCATTTGAAAACTCTTAATTCGCTGACCTTTATTGTCCTGGTAAAATTAGTGGCAACATTGTATGTAAATTAAGATTCTACTATATGATGTTACTAAGTCATATTCCAAACATGGGGAAGCAGCCACAAACCTGTTCCTCAGAGACAAAAGGCAAATGGACGCTGTGATGTTATTGACATGAACTGTGACCATATAGATCATTGTTGCAACCAGGGTCCTTTGGTTGCACCAAGTCTTGTACAGAGGAGGTCAAGTGGGGTGTCTATGGAAAGGTTGTGGTTTGCTGGTTATGATTATGCTGTCTGTATGTGTGTATCATTTTTGTATTTGAAGTTATGAATATTGGCTATGTACCTGTATCTCAATGTGTTTGATTCTAAGTAGCCTCAGTGAAGCATTTGGTCAGCTTCTTGAGAAAGGACTATTCTCAGTAAGTGCCCAATCAAGAAACACTTAACTGACAATGGGCTTTGGGAGACGCCAATCCACATCTGAGTTTTCCTGAGAATGTTCAAACTAACATGTAAACAATGTTATCCCTGGGAGAATAACATGAAGGGCAAAGGGGTCCAGGAGAGCTGGCTGTATTTTAAAGAATCCTTATTGAGAT